CCAAGTTTGGTCATGCCTGACATAGGGGATTGTGAAAATCCCTGAAACGAGAAGTAATCGACTATAGAATTGAATTAAATAACAAAAATCAAAAAAATAAACTGATTAGTTCAGTGAAACGAGTTTTGTAGCCGGCATCTCGTAAAGTCTTTGTTTAATTCTAGGGGGTCTTTTTGGTGTGTGTTTTTTGTTTGTTTTGTTATTTAATTCAATTCTATAGTCGATTACTTCTCGTTTCAGGGATTTTCACAGTAATTCTTTTGTTTTGTGTTATTTCTTGTTTCCGTGACTGTCTTTTTTTCACTTACTTTTTTTCATTGGCTTTTGCCAATGTGAAAATGGAGTCTTTCATCCAGCAATAGAGAGATGCTAACATTGATACTAGACTCTTGAGAGCCCCATGGACAGCAAGAAGATCAAACCTCTCCATTCCTAAGGAAATCAGCCCTGAGTGCTCACTAGAAGGACCGATCGTGAAGCTGAGGCTCCAATACTTTGGCCACCTCATGAGAAGAGAAGACTCCCTGGAAAGACCCTGACTTTGGGAAAGATGGAGGGCACAAGGAGAAGGGGACGACAGAGGACGAGATGGTTGGACAGTGTTCTCAAAGCTACCAGCAGGAGTTTGACCAAACTGGGGGAGGCAGTGGAAGACAGAAGTGCCTGGCGTGCTCTGGTCCATGGGATCACGAAGAGTCGGACACAACTAAACAACACAACTAAACAATAACAACATTGATACTTAAAACAAAATGTGCCCCAGCTTATGCACCTATGGAGAAAATACAGCCTAAATATAACAACCATGATCTGTAGAAGCACTAAGCCAGCTTTCACCAACCTGGTGCCCTCCAGAGGTTTGGGGCTGCAGCAATTCTCATCAGCTGCAGCAAGCACAGCAAAGTTGGCTAGGGCAGATAAGAGTCCAAAACGTCTGGAAGGTACCAGGTTTGTGAAGGCTGCTGTCTTTTTTATTTTTTTAATGAAACAGAATATTGCCACTGAGGATAATCAGATTTATAGGTAATAAGTCATGCGCACAAAAGTCTTTAGATGCCTGGTGTCTAATACACAAAACAGACAGATGTTGTAAATAACATGGCAACTCAAATGTCCAGTAGGAACCAATGATAATATGCAGGTTAAAACAGCCAACCCAAAGCTCAAAAGTGCATCTGTGAATGTGTACGAAAATCTAAACACACGGGGGAACGTTTGATGAAGGACAGAGGCACTTTCTCAGATATGCATCCCTTTGGGTAGTGAGGTTTATTTTCAAAGAATGTGTCAGGAACAATATGATTCCCTGGAAAGGAGGGGAAATAACTTGTTAGTTAATGGAGTTAGGCACTGAGAAGTCAATAAATATAGGTCATTAACAAAAAAACCCACCAAGTCAAAAGCATGGGAACCAAAGGGTGGATGACAATGAAAGGATCCAAGGACACAAAATAAATACACCAGTAGCAATCCTGCACACAAGCGGCTTAAAAGCACAACCCTGTGCAAGCTCCCCACCCCCCACGCCCTGGTAAATGGCAGAGAATGGCAACCCGAAATCCCACTGAAATTTGGGTGTGTTAGTAGCAGTGCTGAGCTTCTGCAAGGAAGAAAAAGTGCATGCCTTACCATCACAGTCTCCTACAAGCAGAGATGTTGGTGAATTCCAACAGAAATGGAAATGGGTGTAGAAATGGCATCTTTGCTCATTGGCAGGGACAGATTCATTTTGTGTAACTGTAAACAGCATTCATTGCTACTGGATTCCCCCTTCCTCCTGAAAATCTGTGAATATTATGTACTTAATAATGTTACTGAGGCTTGGTTATGTACTTTTATGTGATTATTTATCTGGCATTCTGTGGGCTGCAATGACAGAGAAAAGATAAATACAATTTATATTCTCCCTAACCTCTCCTGTCATGGTGCAGTGTTGATGGTTGCAGATGATTGTGCCCTTCTGTCTCCTGACCACCTTGCAACAATGCTATGCACATTTTTTGGGGTGTGAGATCCATTGAACTCAGTGAAGCCAACTTCTGATTTGCATAACCCACACATCTCATGTGTATGATTGGGTTTTGACTCCAAACAATGGCCTATGGCACTGCTATCGGTGTATTTAAAATACTCTTTTACATTAAAAACACAACAGTAATTTCGACAAAAAAAGAAGTAATATTCCACCCACAGTGGACAGTGGGAAGCATAACATATTTTGTGGAAACAAAACTGCAGCAGAACAGAATCTGCTCTGCTGATGGTGAATATGTGATGGAACAGACATTGATAACTTCTTACATCCCTACTCACAAGTGACCTTGAAAGAGATCTTGAGACCTGCAAAATAAGAAAGCCATGGATGGGTATTTTGGGGAGAAGAGGCAATGGATATTTTATGCAGTGTTTTTAATGCCCCTTTTCAACATTATCTGGTTGTTTAAACATTCTCTAGTCAAAAACAAAGGTATTAAATTCATCCATAGCTAGAAACAGATATTATCTAAGAGCTTATTTGAATATATGCTTGTGATTCCTTCCTACCCATTTTTAAAAAAGAATTAATACATGTCATTGCCAGCTACCTGTTAAAGGGTAAAGGGACCCCTGACCATTAGGTCCAGTCGCAGACGACTCTGGGGTTGCGGTGCTCATCTCGCTTTATTGGTCAAGGGAACCGGCGTACAGCTTCTGGGTCATGTGGCCAGCATGACAGCCGCTTCTGGCGAACCAGAGCAGCGCACGGAAACGACTTTTACCTTCCCACCAGAGCGGTACCTATTTATCTACTTGCACTTTGACATGCTTTCGAACTGCTAGGTTGGCAGGAGCAGGGACCGAGCAACGGGAGCTCACCCCGTCACGGGTATTCGAACCACCAGCCTTCTGATCGGCAAGTCCTAGGCTCTGTGGTTTAACCCACAGCGCCACCCGCACCCTGATCCTATAAAAGGGACCCAGATGTAGAAGGAAATTATTGTGCATTGAATTGGGCATCTGGATAATGCATCTCCACGCACACTGAGATGCTCATGCAGGTGACACTGTTTGGTTGCATCTTGAGAAAGAAGGGGGCATTAGTTTCAGTTCTGCCCCAGAGGATTTAGATCAGGGTCTACACAAAGCCCTGGTTCACATGTTGTGTGTGTATGGCACTATCTCTTTGCTATGGAGGAACAAGCTTGCTTCCTCCCTACCCCTAGTGATAATGCTTTATGTCAGCCTTTTGAAGCCTCATGTGGAAGGCTGTTATATGTGCCATAGGTGCACCACACAAATGAACAAATGCAGAGAAACCCAGGCTATATTGGGAAGGGCCATAGCTCAATGGTAGATGTCAAGGAAATAAACAACTCTGTGGCTTTTAGAAGACATCTGAAAGCAGCCCGGTATTGGGAGGTTTTTATGTTTGATGTTTTATTATGTCTTACTTATTCTGTTGGGGGGCTGCCCAGAATGGCTGGGGCAACCCAGTAAGATGGGTGGCATATAAATAAATTCCTAGAGAGGCACTGCTTGTAAGTAGAGCCAATATCTATCTGGATAGATCAATGGTCTAACTAGGTATAAGGTGGATTCCTTTGTGGATAAGATCCTGTGCATGATTCTTCCTCCTAATCAAAAAAGGATTAATAGTGTGTTGGAGGGGAGATGGTAAACTCTACCTCATTTGTGGGCTTCTACCAGCCTGCCAGAAGTATGAACAGGGGCACTGTAATAACACCAGGACCCATGCTCTTAAGGTGCCTATGTTTCTACTTCTGTAAAATATATTGCTGTACCATTTAGCAGCAACATTCTCGTATCCACATAGAAGTATGTCTTCCTTATTAGATTTAATTAACTCCAAGTCAGAACTGCCAATTAAACTGTCATTTTAATTGAGAACCAAAGTGTACAGGTCAAATGCCAGCACAACCTTCATTAAAGCGAGTCTGCCCTAGTTCCATTTCTCCTAAATGTTGTTTTTTATAGGTGATATATATTTATCTCCCCTCCCCCTCCCCCACAATACCCCACGATACACATTTGGATTTCAAGGAGCAAAAACATAAAACCTGAGGAATTTAAAGAAATGTTGCTTTGAAATATTGCAAATACTTTACTAGTGCAATTTACTGATATATTATCAATGTTTTACTAGATGGAAGCTTGTGAAAGCAACAAAACAAAAGCACCAACATCCCGAGATCTAGGGTGTAGAAAGGAGAGGATACAATTGGTAGACCTTCTTAAAATGTAAGGTTACCGTAAAACCTTGCATAATAACAATTTACAATTCATCAACAAGAGCAACTTGGCATGTTTGGGGATACTTCTGAAATTGATTATGGTGTTCTAATGGCAATCCTACGCATGTCTACTCTGAAGAAAGCCCTATTGACTTTTGTAGGACTTACTCTCAGGTACATTTGTTATAAGATTGCAACCTGAATTACCTCGTCTGATTTCCAAATAGGGTTGGCCCAGGAAAGAACGCCAATGAGACTTCAACAGGGCAGTGCCCTTCACCACATCTGAGGGCTGCAGGCTAGCAGGGGCACATAGTTCGCCATGTTGCATGCATAGCTCTGTCATCCAACACCTTGCTGCTCCCCACAGCATCTGCCCCAAATAAAGCTGCCTCACTCTGCCCAATGGTAGGGCCGGCCAGTAGAATGGATGCATTCGGAATCACAAATTGTTCCATTTTGTTGTTCTTGCCATTGCTTCATTGGAAACAGGGCACAATGCCTGTTCTCATTTGTGCTTTTCCTCACTCTAGAGATGCACTGGGAACACTGGGAAAAGGCACCTCAGTGTGATGATAACCCAATAAAAAAGAAGTTTGTTAATAATAACAATAATTTTATTTTTTACATGCCGCCCATCTGACTGCGTTGTCCCAAGCACTCTGGGCAGCTTCCAGCAAAATATAAAAACACAAAACATCAAACGTTGAAACCTTGGCTATACAGGGCTGCCCTCAGATGTCTTCTAAAAGTTGTACAGTTCTTTATCTCCTTGACATCTGATGGGAAGGTGTTCCACAGGGTGGGTGCCACTACCGAGAAGGCCCTCTGCCTGGTTCCCTGTAACTTTGCTTCTCTGAGTGAGGGAACCAGCAGAAGACCCTCGGAGGAGGACCTCAGTGTCCGGGCTGAACGATGGGGGTGGAGAAGCTTCTTCAGGTATACAGGGCTGAGGCCGTTTAGGGTTTTGAAGGTCCGCACCAACACTTTGAATTGTGCTTGGAAACTGACTGAGAGCCAATGTAGATCCCTTAGGACTGGTGTTATATGGTCCCGGTGGCCACTCCCAGGTTGGATCTAGACACATCAAAGAAACGTTTCAGTTAAACGCATTGTAAATGTTGTATGAGAAATCAGGTTGGCAAAAATGGAACTCCACAGCGCCACCTGGTGTCTCAGTGTAATAATGCAAGTACAACGCATATGAAGCACTTTCTTTGTGTCAGTGTAGCTGAGTCACCAGGCACCAGTTTGGCAGCCACATTCTGGATTAGCTTTAGATTCTGAGCCACCTTCAAAGATAGCCCCACATAGAATGCAATCATACATTCCATCACTGTTTTTTTGCTGTGCTTTCTCAGTGTACACTTCTATTAAATAGTGTGGAGCAGGGAACTTCAAGTGAATCGAAGGAAGTGGCATGGAGCACATACTTCAGCTCTGGCAGACATTTTAAATTCAGGAGGAGTAGCATGAAGGCAAAGAAAGCCCATGGGGATGGGTCGCTGCTGTGCATTTTTGTTTGCTTCAGAACAAACCTACAGACACCTTGCATCCAAAGATCTCAGGGCAGGCTAAAGTGGTTCAAATAACAATACAGTCATACCTCAGGTTACAGCCGCTTCAGGTTCCGTTTTTTCGGGTCGTGGACTGCCGAAACCTGGAAGTACCGGAATGAGTTACTTCCGGGTTTCTGCGGTTGCGCATGCGCAGAAGCGCCCAATCGCAACCCATGCGTGCACAGACTTGCAGACACAGGTTGCGAACACTGCGGGTTGCGAATGTGCATCCCACACGGATCACACTCGCAACCCGAGCGTCCACTGTACAGTTAGGGAAGACCAGATCACCTATTTCCTATCCTTTTCAGTTTTTCATGTGGTGTGTTTTTGCAGATTTTTAAAAAAACTGTAACCCCCATCATCCCTGGGACAACAGTGGGGCAACGCTGTCTGGGGCTGATGGGAGTTACAGTCCAACAACATTTGGAGAGCTCCGTTTTCCAGGTCTGAAGGCTAATTGGCATCTTTATGCAGAATGAGGAGGAGACATTTTGCCTCAAGCAGCGAAATGACAGGGGCCAGCCCTGCTTGGAAATCAAACTAGGTTATTCAGGTCCCCAATCTTCTGTTTCGGAAAACACTACTTTATGCCCATCTTTCATATTATCTATGGTGTGCAGTAAGAGAAAGCATCTGTTTCTCCAGACAACGAGATCTTTAAGCCTTTTAATAACTTTACCAGAAGCGGAGGCCAGTGTCAGTCTTTTGTAGTGCATTTAACTTAAGAATAGCAAAACCAGGCAAGGTTTCCTGTAAAAAATATATGTAAGTGGTAAAAAGCATGACAAGGACTGTCTCCAAGATAAGCAGTCTTATGGCCCTCATGATGCCTCAGAGAAGCTGCCTATTTATGGCTGTACACCTCTGAATGATTCATGAATTGTGAAGCTATCTTAAAGGAAACAAGGACAATTACAAGGAGAGGACTCGACCTAGAAACCGATGGGAAGCAAACCCAGATACAAATGATCTCCCAGTTCTTCTTGTGGATTCCTTTCCCTCACAGAATGACACACGTTTTAATGGGCAACTTTAAAGGCCTTCCATGCAGGCTGGGTGTGGGGAGGGAAAGGGCTTTTCCAAGATGAGCTCTTCTTACAGGTAAGCCCAGACTACAAAGCTGCCAGCTAAAAATAATGCGTGGAGAAAGAAGTCATGTGGAACAAGTCACAGCATGACAGAAGCATTAATAGAAAGAAAAAGCCCAGTGTTCCCCCCCCCCCGTTCTCACAAAAAAAAGAGATGCTTGAAGTTCAGTGCCAAAGTTGGAAAAAAGCAGAGATATATTGATATACCATTTGAGGGCTTTTGACGTAAAGTCTCTTTTTGTGTTGTGCCTCCCTTTGCCATTCTCTCCCACACTCTGTCCCCCAGTCTCTGTCCTCTGTCCCAGTGTGCAGCAACTGTAAAAAAAAAAAGAGGGGAAAGAGGCAAAATCCATGCTAGAGTTCACTAGGAAAGGAACTGAAAATAAAACTGCTGATGTCATAATGTCATTATGATATGTTTGGAATAGTGTGTGAACTCTTGGATACCCAACAAAGCTGAATGCTGGGAGATTCAGTACAGATAAAAGTGTTTTTCACACAGCATGTATAATAATAATAATAATAATAATAATAATAATAATAATAATAATAATAATAATATATTTATACCCTGCCCATCTGGCTGGGTTTCCCCAGCCACTCTGGGTGGCTCCCAACATAATATTAAAACATGATAAAACATTAAACAGGGCTGCCTTCAGATGTCTTCTAAATGTCAGGTAGTTGTTTATCACTTTGACATGTGATAGGAGGGCGTTCCACAGGGCAGGCGCCACTACCGAGAAGGCCCTCTGCTTGGTTCCCTGTAACTTTGCTTCTCACAGTGAGGAAACCGCCAGAAGGCCCTCAGCGCTGGACCTCAGTGTCCGGGCAGAACAATGGGGGTGGAGACACTCCTTCAGGTATACAGGGCCGAGGCCATTTAGGGCATGTAGTTGAACAATGGAGTTCACACCCACAGGAGGCAGTGGTTGCCACCAACTTGTATGGCTTTAAAAGAGTACTGGAGAAATTCATGATGGCTATGCTATGCCTCCACAGCTGGAGGCAGTAATGCTCCTGAATACAGTAGCAGTTTCAGGAAACTTCAGGAGGGGAGAGCCCTTTGTGTTTATGTCCAACTTGTGGGTTTCCTGCCAGTGCTCCCAGCCATGAAATGTGTCCGAACATCTTTTAAATCTTCCATGAATTGGTCCATTCCTATTTTAAATCCATCTGTGCTGGTGGCCGTCACTGCCTCATCTGGGAGCGAAATTCATAGCATTATGGATGCACCTTTCCATGTTTATCTGTCTGTTTTGTAACACAAAAAACTTTAATAGAAACTAGTTTTTTAAAAAAAACAATGAAAAAGAAAACCTAAGTACTTTCCTGTATATGTCCTAGATCTTCCAACATACAGCTTCATTGGACGGCCACACGTTCCAGTGGAAAGAGAGAAGGAGAAAAATTATTCTCTATCCACTTTCTCCATGCCGTGCGTAATATTTAAAACTTCTTTCGTGCCACCTCTTCCTCGCCTCTTCTCTAAATGAAAAAGTCCCAAATGCTGCAACTCTTTGTGATATGCTCAAAGACTACAGATTATGGTAAGTCTATCATACCCTGAAGAAGAAGAAGAAGAAGAAGAAGAAGAAGAAGAAGAAGAAGAAGAAGAAGAGAAAGAAGCCAATTGACAATTACTGTACCCAAATTCTAAATGAGTGCCGTTTAGAATGTTATACACTAAACTCTGTCAAGTACTGTGACTGTTCCTTGCTAGGGAACCAATATTAGTGGGAGTCAGAATAGCGGGTGGATAAATTGGCTGCAACAGAAGAAGCTTAAGAGGAGCAGGCAGGGCTGTGGTAGTCAAAAGGAAGAACACCATGTGTTCTAAGCAAGCACATCCCGTCTAACTGCTGTAGAGCAGTAGGTGGTATTGTGTGTCCCTATAGCCCAGAGCCTTCCATAACTCTCTCTTGGAACGATTTGATTCCTTACCACCCACAACACAGGCATGTGACTTAATAGCACAAGCTGTCCCTATACAATGTGGCTTGCTTGCGGTTGTTGAGAGCACCTTAACGAATGGATTTCTTTTCTTGGAAGCAGCTACGTACATATGGATCAGTCCTATCATCCTGATGCACTGGGCTTGGATTTGATTTAGAGTCGATATCATTATTCCTCCAGACCCTTTGCAATTGGATATTTTTGCCTGTTAAAATAGCCCTGCTGCTTATACAACTGCATGATAAGAAGAGGGGAAATGAAAAGTGGAGGTGTTTTGCTCATTTTGCTGCAACACAGCAAAAAGCTTCCACCTGTTTATTTCTGCCTGCCATCCACTTGGACCCAAAGCTAGTGGACCAGTTACCAGGATTTGAAATAAAAACATACATACATACATACATACATACATACATACATACTTTTCTCAAAGGAGCCTCTTTGATAGGTGCACAGAATCCCTTTGGTCTCCTGGGCATTATGCAGTGTGGCTGGACCTACAGAAAGCCTAAGGAGCTTGGTTCTTTCATGCCTTGGGTCCAATTGGTCTAGAACGGGGGAAGGGAACATTTTTCAGCCTGAGGGCCAAATACCCTTCCAGGGGCCACATGTCAATGGTGGGAAGAGCAGGAGGCAAAAGGTGGGCAGAGTGACAAATGTAATTCTTATCTTCATTCCATCGGCTAGATTCTGCACACACTCCTCTTTGTCCTCTATCCAGAAAAGTAAGAGACATGCTGAGAGCACAAATATGAATTCCACCCAGACAACAACACTCAGGGTGCAAAGCCAGACCAGTGAGGCAAGGGACATGGGGTAACATTTGTGGGGCAGAGGCTTTGTGGGGGCACATTCATGCCCTGGGCCTTAGGTTCCCCACCTCTGGTCTAGAACAGTGGTTCAGATCAACATCCTCCTTGACGGTACCATTCCTGTGCCAACTTCAATCAGCAAAAGCTCAAAAGGCAGTGGTTTGGGTGGCTGTCAGATTCTGCGTATGGACTGTGAACCTTTCCTCTGTGGGATGGCAGTTCAACAGTGTCGTTTAAAATTTGCTTTATGTGCCCGTGTTTTGTTTTTCATTGTTATTACCAAGCCCTTGGGAAAATGTGCACCAGAAATTGAACTACATTACAGTGGACCCTCAGGTTGTGAATGTGATCCATGCGGGATGCACGTTTGCAACCCACAGCGTCCACAACCCGCAGCAGCGCGTCTGTGCACATGCGGGTTGCGATTCAGCACTTCTGCGCATGCGCAAAGCATGATTTAGCGCTTCTGTGCATGCACAACCACCGAAACCTGGAAGTAACCTGTTCCAGTACTTCCGGGTTTCGGCGGTCCGTAACCTGAAAAAAACGCAACCTGAAGCATCTGTAACCCAAGGTGTGACGGTATATCTTTCACAGCTGCCATTGTGAGGGAGGGGGTCAGTCCAGGTGACTCAGGAAAGAAGGCATGTGATGGTGTCTTCAGCTGTCAATCTGTTCTTACTGGTCCTCTGTGACATCATCATGCAGCAACATTTGATTGGCTAGGGAGTGTTGTGAAGCCGCCCCACTCACTATGTGACCCCTGATTGGGTGGAGTCACCCATGTGATGAATCCTGGAAGGCAGGGCAGGCAGAATCGTCAGGGCACTGAAGCAGCAGCAGCAGCCTGGAACATAATGCTAATTTTATAGGGAAATACATATGCATGCAATCGTAAACATTTTTTCCCCAAGGAAAAAAACCCAAGCCATCACAAAATTGCTGGTTTCTTCTTGTAAGTCGCAACTGGAGAACGTTCAGCGCAGTGCTACTAAATAAATGAATATTCATTGTTTACTGTAGTGGTGGGATCCTAGCTTCTGTTGTCACAAGTATGAATATAAGCTAATGGGTACCATTTGTATTTGTTGTTGCCGTTTTTCCCCCGCCTGCCTCCAGAGTACCGGTGACAGGAGAAATGTATGCATTAAAAATAAGCGTGATGAAAAGCAGTGCTCTTTATAATTTCAGCCCAGCTGCTGTATTGATGGATACAATCTCTACCACATGCTCCAGGTGGCTTGTAATGCTCGCCTCCCTCCAGAAACCTCTATTTGCACATCTTAAACCACTTAATGGATCCGAACAGGAATTTTCCTTCCTCCATCTGTGTGCAGTAACAGCGTTCAGCAGTGTAATATTTTTTAAATCTTGGCTTTGCATTTCACTCACCCTGAGTATCTCCAGAGGTGTTCAACACAGCCACTTTTGTTCCTCTCGGTTCAGCCTTTCCTGTCGATCTTGTCATCTCGGTGTGGCTATGCAGCATATCAATGCATTCCCCCCCAGCATTGCCAACGTTTACAAAGTACTGTGACTCAATTAATCAGCCCTCCTGAATAGTGCCTCTCTGTGCCTCCATATTTCATATGAAATTCATTTGAAAGCTTTGTATTCAAAGTTTGCAAAGGTTATCCTTTTATTCAGAGCATGCATCTCCAAAGGCTCTAATCAACTTGTCTACTGTTGTTTAAAACTTCACTTACTACTCTACCAGTCACTTTGAATTATTGAGCTCAGAGACCTTTATTCAGCGCGCCAGAAATGACTGATTTGACGTACTATAGGCTGCACAATAAAGAGCCTTCATTTATAATTATGGATGGGTAGAGTGGCTACTGGGAGATATGTATCTGTTCTTGTCAGATGTAGATTAGAACGGTCCAGAAACCAAGACAATCTGCCATAGTCTTTGAAGGTGCGCAATAAAATGTTTGAATGTTCTCATTCCCATAGCAATTCAGAGTAACGCAGCCCAGATCTCATATAATCTTTAAGAGACTTAATAATAAGTTAGTGTACTAATTAGCAGAGACAGGAGCCAACAACCATGATTAATAGCAAATGCCCAACAGATTATTATGCTGCTGAACTTCAAGTAAATCTTTTAGCAGTAAGCCTTTACAATTAATTGCCCATCAAAATACATATAACCATGCTCTTTTATGTACATAAAAGAAAAAGAAAAGGGAAATGCTCATTTACAAAGCTGGCCCTTTGAAAGATTGCAGGTGGTTTTTGTTCTTGTTTTCCAATGAATAGAGTAGCATTTTCAAATATATAGACTTTGCAGTACTTGCACCCAGCACAGACATATTTGATTTTTAAAGAGTTTATCTGAGCATGTACAGAGAGCACTTTCCACATCACCAGGGTAATCACAGCTTTCTGGCAGATGTTTTTGGCTCTAGGGGACCACAACTCATTGGTGGAACAAAGGCATGCAAAAGATTCCAGGCCTCATCTTTAATCAACTGATCTCAGGTTGAAGAGCTGGAAAACTCAACCACATCTGAGATCCTGGAGAGCTAATGCCAATCAAAATAGACCAATCACCTGACTTGATAAAAGCCTGATTCCAAGACCAGAGGCTGTGTCTTCCAAGCAAATGTGAGACTTGCCACCTCTCTTTTAAGAAATTATTTAATTTTTTACTTAGCTTCACACAGGGCTTTTTTTCAGCTGGAACTCGCCGGAACTGAATTCTGGTACCTCTCAAGAAGGCGCCATTACTATTATAAGAGAACAAGGGAGGGGTTCATGGTGAGTT